CAGTTATTAAGAGGTTTCAGCTTTGGACTCTTACCACATGCTTTCTTTTGCCAAAGCAGTAAAATTTAACAAGACTTTTTTTATGAGACTGTGAAAGGGACATATGCATATATATTAAGACACCAACTGGGCTTATTTAGGTTTACCAACAACTGAATTTCTAATTAGACACCACAGTCAGTGCTTGTTTTGATTATTTGTAAAGAGCCACGTGGCAAACAGCTGCTTGAAATTCTCCCCATGGAAAATAATTTTTTCTCCAAGAGGAACTCTCCACTTCTTGTGTTCGGTTGTTGCACAGCAGCAGGCAGGATGCTCTGGGCTCTAACTCAGCTGGCGATTGAATGGCAGCAGAGCCAGGTTGTTGCTTTTTATCCAAATCTCCATTATTCAACTCCTTCCAGTAAAACTCATTTATGCCTCTTCCTGACTGAAGCTTTCCAGATCCAAATGTTGTTGCTTTGCGTTTTTTTCCGACAATATTCTTTCAGGTTTTCTCACATAACTAAGCTTCTCTGCATTTCATTAATGTGTGAAAATGTTTCTGTGTTCTTATGGTGTTAATTAGAAGATGCCAAGCACTCCTAACTATTAGCTATTAACAGGATCACTCAAGTCCAGCTAACAAAGCAGCTGTTACAAGCAAAGTAAAAGTTTCCTTATGCAGAAATTACAAAGGGCATTGCAGAAACCTGTCCTCTCCATAGCCACATGTCAGTGATAGCACACAAAGTTTGGCTTTGCATACTCATGCTACTGTTTTGTCGTGATTGTCACTGTGTCGTCTGTGCATATTTTCCCCTTGCACTTTTATTTGATACTACAGAATACGAAAAAAAAAAACTTTATGAGCACAATGAACGTCACTTCCTCATTCAGCGGTATTTACGAGAAATGATTTAAGGAATGGGAGCAGCTCATTCCCTGGTGAAGTTGTGGACCTTTGGAGCCTTTTTTTTTTTTTTTTTTGCAAAGTTTGGTTTTTGTTTGTTTTCCCCTGGCTCTCTGGACAGCCTTGGAGAAGGTTGTGTGTATTGGCTGAGGCCCTTGGTTCAACATTAAAGGATATGTTCTCATGTGCTGTTTCTGAGGCGAACACTCAGTCTTGTTGACAGCATTCTTTGGAAGAGGTTATTTCACTAGTTTGGTGAAAATTGTCAACAGCAGTCTCACTTTGCGTGAGCTAAGTTGTTGATTTTCACTGGCTAATTTTACCACCGCTGTAATTTTGGCACTAGTGAACTTTTTTTTTTCTTTGTTCTTTTCCGTCATTATTATCATTCAGGCTGCAGCTTCCATATTTGTGTGTCCACCTTCAGTCTAGTGTGAGACAGAAATCTAGGCTCATTTCTATTCTACATTTAGAGGAAGTGGTCAGAGTTAGAGTTAGACTTTTTGTGCCAAATTAAGCTGAAAGCATCAACAGCTCATGATGTGGGGTTTCATGAAAAGGAAATGAAAAACAAAACTCTACATATACATATATAAATATATAGAGTTAGAGTTAGACTTTTTGTGCCAAATTAAGCTGAAAGCATCAACAGCTCATGATGTGGGGTTTCATGAAAAGGAAATGAAAAACAAAACTCTACATATACATATATAAATATATGTGTGTGTGTGTGTGTGTGTGTGTGTGTGTGTGTGTGTGTGTGTGTGTGTGTGTGTGTGTGTTGTTCTGAAAACAGAACAAGACAGACAAACTAATATAAACTCACATTTGATATTAGAGTCCGTCTGAAAACCAGATATAAAAAAAGAAAAAGAAACTTCTACTTCAAGAATTAACCCCTGCTCCGTGTGATGAAAGCAGTAGCACAGAGGGGGAAGGCAGCAGTTTTAATTAAAGCACAGTGCGTTTTTGATAGAGCAAAGCAAACATTTATCTGGGTTTTTTTTGCAGCTCACCAGCGAGCATCCAGTGCTGAAGTGGAGAAGTCGGAGGTTTGGACAGCTGGGCCTCAGGGTAGAGCGGAGGATGTGGCGAGATTAGAAGAACCTGATTAACAGAAAACAGGCTGTAGGAAGAGGATTCTCCATCTCTCAATTTCCTTCACTTATCCCCCTGTTTCTCTCCGAGCCTCGATCTCATTCCTAGAAACAAAGACATGGATGGGCCTGAACTCTTCTTCCTCTTCATGTTTTTAAGTCCAGTGAGAATAAAAACGAGTGTTTTCCTTGGTGCTTTACATCCACGATAACATCAAACAAAATACTGATGGAGACCAAGGGACTCGACTTGAGTCCCTTTTGTCTCATAAAGTCATCTCGAACCGGGGGTTTTCTTGTGAGACAGCACACGCTGTGTGGGTGTTTGGTTTTGTGAAGTGTGAGCTGTAACTCCTCCGTTTTTTGCCCCACTGAGAGCCTTTGTTTCCACCATGAAAACACACACACAGATGTGTGATGATTGGCAAGGGGTGACGGCGTATTGTCTGTCTTATCTGCATTGGTTTTACAGTAAATGCTCACATGATCTCAGGGAAGAGTTGTTTTTTGTTGAATATGGATGAATAGATGGCCCAGAGGGAAAGTGAGGTTTATCTTTAATATTTATAAGTGGGCTTTGATGAAATCTTTTTCTCCAGACTTTGCCTTCATTCTGATTCAGACATGAACATCTTCACAACTTCAGCTTTTGCTTCATCCTGTGACGCACATCTGACTGACACCGTCAATGAATCATGTCGTCACTCATCAACACAAGTTCACACAGAGCAAGTCCTTCCATTAGTTTCATCTCTAGTCTTTTCCAGTCTGGGTCTACATGGTCTGGAGAGGCAGCCTGATGTGAAGAGTGAGTAATGCTGACTGGACAGCAGTCTCTTGCATGGTGCAGCGGGAGGCCACCAGATGTGTGTGTCTGTATCACTCATTGTTCCACTCACCATACACACACACAAACACACTGCTTGACTTCCCAAACGGTTACTTGCAGGTATTTTATGAGACTTTAAAACCAGGCAACACCACTATTTGATCCTTCTTTGAAAACGCTGAGCTCGCCTCGACTGGTCACACACAGTTAGCTCATAAATTTAATGAAAACTAATAAATGAGGCTGGCTCGGCTGGTACATTAGTTTGGGGATGTACACCTTATTCAGGCTTCCTGAAACTGGTCTTAGACAGCACAAGGTTTCTGTAAATGTTCTCAGGGAAGTTATAACATCAGCATTGAAGTTTCATATTACTATGATGATAAAATTGGCATAGGATCTTTAAACCAGTACCCTTCTTAGAAAGCAGTCTATGAGGTGTGAGTAGTTCCACTGAAGAGTGATTTTCTCAAAACAAATATTTGAATATTTTAGAGCCCTGAAAAAGCAAAGATTAGAGGAGGGTCTGAAAAATAAGGATAATTCTGTGTAGCAAAATTTTACTTTTCTCATTTCCTAACCAAGTTATCATTCAATCAATCAATTATTTTGAAACCACGCGTGTAAGGCCTGAAACATCTGCTTTAAACTATCAAGAGGCCTCTCTTGTTTCAACAGTAATGTATAACGTGTAGTTCACTTGAACTTTTCCTCACTGACTGACTGACCTTGGCTGTGCTTCTGCTCACATTCTTCCACATATTTATCATCCTTTACTTTCTGAGTCACTTGTGACAAGCAGGGAGCAGAGGGCTATGAATAATAACACAAACTGTTCTCTTTATTTAGACCCAAGTTTGTGTTTTCACATACCGTTCTTCTGTGTTTTGGGCTGAGCGGTTAAAAATGTTTACGTCGCGGTCTTGAATATGGCAGAGGAAGTTGGTCAAGCACAAATATGAAAATGCAAGAGGGGAGTTTTGGTTTTTCTGGCACAAGAAATTCCACTCTATTGTAAATATTTTGTGCTTGCATGTTTCTGCTGAATGTCATACTGTTTTTTATCATCATATTAAATAGCAGTTTTGCAGTCAGTTTGTCATATGGTAATCTTGCAGAATAAGTGAGACTGTTGCACAAGCAGTAATAGCCACAGCTGAAGAGAGGAAGTTTAACACAAATCAACAGTTTGGCCGGATGTTTGCGAGGAAATTTGAATTTAGGAACTCTCAGAACTTCTGCCCATTGTTGTCACTGGAGCTTTTAACCCTGGATTATGTTCAAAAAACCATCAAAGGTTCCCAAATGCTTAAAATTACTGACATGCTACAGTGTACGATGGCAAATCACGCACACAGAGTGAACAATGCCAGATCATGAGAATCAGAGATCTTGTGGCACCAGTAAAACCCTTGTGCACAAATGTTAATGTTGGTGGTCAAAGATGCAGTATGTTGAATAGAATTAAACACAGTGTAGTGACAGTGGCCTGTTTCCACAATCTGTTTGTTCCTCTTAGTGAATCATGAATACATTTATCACTGAAGTTTTTTATTTTCCCAATGATTATTTCTTCTACCTACTCAGCACCAAATAATAATAGGACTTAAAGCTGTTCTAATTAATACTGTAATATAAATAATGGCTCACACAACTGTATGTATGTGGAAGGGATCGATCATACCGACAAACCCACAAAGAAGTATCACCATGTGCTGCAGTTCCTTTTACTGTACAAAGGGTATTTTAAGTCAGTTTTTTTTTCCGGTGAGCAAATTTAATGGCAGGCAGCTGCTTTTAATAAAAATAAAAAAAAAAAAAACAAAAAAAAAACCTCAGATAAACCTACTATATACTTCCTGCTGAGCATCAGACAGACAAAGTTGGCCACAAGCTGGTAAACACAGTGGAGAATTTAGCATCTATATAGCCAGATGTTTCCTTCAGCAGATGGCTGTGACCAAAACAGAGCTAAAAGGAGAGTGAACATTAGACAATTATTAGGTGGACACGAACATGACGCCCAATTATTGCCGATATTGCTCTGTATCTGCTTGATGTCTCAAAAAGCCACTGTTAGCAAACACATTCACTACATCAACTTAACAAGGTGAAAATATTCCAAAATGGCAAAAACAAAATGAAACCAGTGCAAATTTAAGCTGATGTCACAATATGACCATTCAAATATTTAAAATTTATTAACAACACAGGGAAACAGTCTGAAAGCCACTAATACTCATATATACATTAATATTTCCAAACAGTAACCATAGCATTCAAGTCTTCTTCTCACTATCATAATGACAGACTGTTTGTTTTTCCGGCTTGTGTGCAGAATACATATCACAGTTCAATAGCGCCGTCATCCAGTACAACTCCACATCGTACCTTCTGTGAGTGGAGTGGTCATCCAGTTTGCATTACTGTCTAAGTACTTCAAAGTGCTCACATTAGAAACTGAAACACACTTGGATGTTTGGGATCCTTAATGAAAATGTCAGTTCAGCACAGCCCTATGCTGACATAAGAAATGTGGTGGATTTCAGAGAGGGATGCCCTCCACTGTCCCCCACTTGAAGGTATTCCAGTATTTTAAACGCCACTGCTGTCTCTAGAAGTCATCCTCATAGTCAGGCTTTGCCAAGCTGTTTTCAGGGAGAGCATAAACAGATTTGCTTTTCTTCTTCCTGTTCTTTGCGCTTATCTGTGCTGGGTCTTGATCGCCAGAAAAGGAAAGGTAGGCTGCGATGCTGTTTCTGACACCGTAGCTCACCATGTTGTCACTGCAGCTCTCTGTGCTGACCAGCTGTGTCCTGTGATGAGGGGAGATAAAGAAAGAAATAAATGAGTGAGTGTAATGAGTGTCTTAGCATTCCGATTTTCTTCTCCGCCTGTGAAAAAAGGATGCAATTGATGCCTAATTTCAACTATTAAATCCAAAATCATCTTAAACCACCAGGTGCTTAAAAAAATCATGCTTGAATATCTACATTAGATAAAAAACAATCATTAGTTGCAGCCTTTATCTATATTCCTACATCGGATTTCTGCTATTTTCACATTCAAGACTAGCACCAGGTGACAGCAAATAAGCTGCCATCTATGCACGGTCATGCTGACATGATTAAAGCTGGGAAATATCACCGAGCCTCAGTTGTACCTGTCTATTTTCTTCCAGTCAAAGTTCCGTCGCATGACCACAGGTGGAGCTTCAGGATTCACGGCTGATTGCGGGGTTGTGGCCGACAGACAGGGAGAGGTTAGCACACAACATAAGCCATCTGAAGAGTCTGAAAAGGCAAATGCAAGGGTATAGTATAATACTGCTCTCATTACGCATTAACCATTCTCACACTCTATCACTCAAGCGTACAGACAAACCAAACTTGTGATCCATATTCATACAGAATTGAACAGCACTGCTGCAAGTCTTTTTTTTTTTTCTTCACTTTGTCGCACCAGTGGTCATTATCAAGCACACATATTTTATCTCATTTCCTGTTTTGGTCCAAAAATGATCTGTCTCTCTGTAACTGATGAGAAACAGTTCTATATTAAGAACATATTTTATTTTCAGTGCTTAAGTATTTGCTATGCGAGCCTGTTTGCATGCTTGCATACGGGCCTACATATTGTCGAATTAGTTATCTTTTAGTTTATTTTTAGACCTATGTCTTTCTTTATCTCTTTTTAATTATGTATCCGAGTGCGGTGCATCCACCCACCAGAGTAGTGGTTGATCATATCCTCAAGGCACTGGAAGGTGAGGCGTGGGGAGATGTAGTACCAGCTGTTGTCCAGTCTGAAGATACGATAGTGCTTTATGATCATGTGCTTCACGGAGAGTGAATACACACCTGAGGATAAGACAAACACCGTACACTTAATAATACAGGCTTTCAGTTATAGCACCAAGCAAGTTATAGTTTGAAGTCACTGTTATTTTGCCAGAACCCGAGGAATATCAACGACTATTGAGCCATTCATGCTACAAATGCTGTAACAAAGCAAAAGCAGAAGTAACATGAAGGTCAGTCCTGTGCTGTCGTGCTAAGTCATTGTGTAGCCTATTTTGTTTTTAAAAGCAAGGCTTCATTTTGGAATTCATTTGGAAAATACCCCTTATTTGCTTTCGATGAGAAGGTTGATACCACTCTCACATCTGTCTGTTTAATATAAAGCTTCAGCCACCAGCCAGTTAGCTTAGTTTAGCATAAAGACTGGAAATGGGGAAACAGCTAGAATGGCTCAAAAATTAAAAAAACATAAGAAGAATATCAACACTAACCAACACGTTATATCTTGTTTTTATTGTTCTGTACAAAAACGTAATTGTAAAAATGAGAATTCGAAGTGTTCTGACGGACCATTGTGTCAGACTGTTTCTTGGGTAGGAGGAGGAACTCCATGAGGTCACTGCGCCCGGCAAAGAAAAAGTCGGATTCAACAAACAAGATCTAACTTGTCAGTGAGTGATTTCCTTATCTCACGAAAGAGGGTTTTTCCCAAAATTTCAGACTAATTTTGTTGCTTGTCTTTTTGTTGTATACATCAAAGGTCTCCTGCTAATTACATGTCATGGGCCTTAAACCATGTGGATGAAATTCTGTTAATTTTAGCTAATGTGATAATGCCTCCACTCTCTAAAATTACACCAAATAGGTCTATTAAAAACTCTCCATTACAAATCCTCGCTTTCTTTCATTTCTAGTCCCTTAAGAATTCATGTATTCAGATGAAAACTTCAACAAATACCATTCTTCTTCTTCTTCTTCTTCTTCTTTCTTCTTTTTCATGAGATCTAGATCTGCTCTTGGCTTCTCTTTTAGCGTACGCCGTTACTCTTGACTTAACACCATCCTGATCTAATCTTGGCACATGCTGACTTGTCGACAAGCATTTATTTTCCTCCACAGAAAACTCCACATTCTAACCATTACTGAAAACCAAAGTCTATCCCAAATTAAAAGAGTTTATTGCTCGCTCTGCTGAGTCAGTGTTCTCACCTCTCTCCCTGGTGCTCTCCCGCACCAGAAAGGAGCCCACTCTGTTCCCAGGTAGAAGCAGCAGCTCTTCGGCCTTCTGCCGCTCCACCCCCTCAAACAGCCAACTGACAGAACAAAAACATGCTCCGAGTTATAGATCAGCAGCACATTCAACCCGAGTTGTAATTTCATATGAAAGGCATACCCTTTGAAATTAACATAACATACAACACTTCATTAACAACTTGTGTTGCTATTATCTCCCACTGCCTCCTGAACACAGAGAGGTCTTAGATAGGGTGACGGAAAAAGATGCATTCGATATTTTTTCACTGTTATCGATTTAAAGCAAGTTCAAACAGGCCGACCAGGCCAACACTAGAGAATAGTGTTCGTATTATTTTTCTTACCCGTGGTAGACTTTTGCCACATGACTGTTGGGTATGTAGTTCTCCTTCCCTGTTTGGACTGAGCGGACTCTCCACCAATAAGCCTCCCTGACCATGATAAAGAGGCAAAGAGGAATCAACAACTGACCTTTTGTGAGCACTTCTCCATACTGTAAACTTAGGGCATCAAATGACACTGTCTTTCTTTTAGACCTTATTTCCTCATACTTATTTGTGATTTTCTGTCTATCAAATGTGTGTCTTTAATCAGGAATGCAAAACATGATCGTACTGTGCGATGACTCTGAGCTTCTCCCCCATTCTGTAGATGGGCTCGCTGATTTCAGGAGACGGGTAGTCCTGCAGCACCACCACCATGTCTTCTTCTGAACCTGCCAAGAACAATATTAACAGCATTCAGAATGATATCAATGGAAAGATCACACATTTGTATTGCACAAAGTACATAACAGTTATCACTGACAGCACTGCGGAATTCTTCCACTCTGCTCTCTTAAAATACTTTAATTACTAAACAGCTAATATCAATATCAAAGTTGCATCGAGGTCTTACTCTTTTGAGAGCTGTCAGGGGTTTCAGTCTTGTCCTTGTCCTTGGCACGCACACCCCCCATCATATTCCCCATCCTCCAGATGGACCAGACTGTGGCCTGAAGTCAAGGCAGACAGAGAAAGAAATGCGAATGTACCCCAAGTTCTCCAAATTTTCAATGTGTATAAGTTTTAACTTTCTCTCTGCTGCTGCACCACGAAGTTAGTAACTTCCTATAATTTAACCATTGAACTATCTCGACTAACAAGACACATTGCAAAATGGGAACGCTGAGGCTAGATGCTATCGGACTTGATTTTCCATTGCATGACTAGGTCTGTGTACTCATAACGAACAGTGATTAATGATAATGAATTGATATGTTGCATAATCCCACTCCCAAATTATATTGTTTTTTAGATCATTTACTTTCTTATTAATCAAAAAATACCTATCTGTGCGGATGCATTTCAACAGATCCTGTCTATGTGACGTATATTATCAAGTTACATCACACAGCGTTCAGTTCACCAGAATGGAGAAATAACTGTTCCCTCAGAAGAGAAGCTTCAAGCAGGTCAAATCAGAAGCAGTAGGCGCCTACCTGTAGAATTTGTAGTTTGCCTGCTGTTGATGGCATCAAGGGTGGTGATGGCCCAAACAGGGCATGGTGGCAGCGGCGGAGTCTGGTACTAGAGAAGTACCATGTTCACAACAGTGTACAGAAATGACCCGTCACAGAGTGTGTCGACAGCTCTACATCTGACTGCAAACTCACTTCCTGTGCTGAAATGAGGAAGAGGGCCAGCGAAAATGTTGCTGAGACACACACACACACAACTGATCATGAAACGGGGGTCATACATTTAGAGTAACTAACTGAAAGCACTGTTGTAGGCTAGTGTTTTTGTAACATTCCTGATTCTTCTGGATGTTTTTATGCTGTGAATAATATGTCAGAAAGTTTTGGCTTTGTTCCTGTCAAGATCATCATAATTTTATGGCTGTTACTGTTGAATAAGCCTTCATGGAAACTATAGACAATGATAAATTAGAGTTGAAATGATTAGTCAGTTAACAGATTGACAGACTATTTTTTTGGGCCGGGATGAGTTGTTAAGCAGCAAGCAGAGTCTCCAGGAAATTCTGGAAGGCAGTAGTAACCACTCTCCACTGTTTCCACTGTTTGTGCTAAGCTTGTGCTCGCTTCACATTTACTGTAAGGACATGGAAGTGACACCCATCTTCTCATCTTACTAATCTCAATGAGACTACCTGAATAAATAAAGATGAAATAAAAAATAAAATAACTCTTGGCATTAAAGCAAATCAGTGCAAAAAAAAAAAAAAAAAAAAAAAAAAAAAAGATCAGCTGATTAATCTGAAATAAAAACAGTCCTTAGTTGCGGCCTTACAATGCATGAAATAATACAAATCTCAGCACAGTGTTACCATATTGTCACTGCAGTGGCCTACATGAGTTGAGATATGCAAAAAAAGCACCAGTATTCAAAGTCACTGGTCAATTCAGAACTATCTGTTAGATCCGTATTTAAGCATTTAAAGCATTTGTATTTTATGGTAAAAACAAAACTGCATTCATCTTCCTTAATGGCCATCAGAAAGATCAAAGCTGGAACTGTCATGACGTGTACTCTAAAGTTATTTTAAGTCGGACAGCCTTTTTTTGGCCCAACAGAAGTCTGCATTTACTGGCTTTCCCACCCAGACGTTTTGCTGTATGTGACACGCTGACACTGTGGTTGTCTGCACACATATATGTCTCATGTCTGGAGGTTGAAAGAAGAGAAAGCAGAAAAAGAAGATAAATGAATGGTTCTATGTGATTAATAGCAGCTTATTTCAAATGAACTTTACTTTGTAATAGCTACTGATTGACTTAAAAATGGATAGATCTATATCTTTCGTTTAGCAAAAAGGACGAGAGCAGAGTTTCGAAGAGAGGAACATGAAAAAATGTCACCATCTCTCATCGGTCTATTTGTCTACAGAGGGGAAACTGCAAATGCGTTATCTGGTACCTGAAAGTATTCCAGAATGACACTTCTCAAGTCTAAAATTAGGGAACCCAAAACCATCTAGTTTCAGATCTCTGACCTCATGAGATAATAAATCCTCATACACACAGTTTCCACAAAGTCTTTGAGTTTATGTTTGCCTCACAAATGAAGAATGATGGTACCCTGTGAGCTTTCTGACCAACTGTTGCTGATTAGATAAAAATTCATGAGGCAGTTTTGTTTGAGAGCTGCACGCCTGATGCAAAAACTCTGAAATGTTGCTTTCCATATTTTTTCCCCTTCCACTTCCTGGATAACACGCACGCACGCACGCACACACACACGCACACACACATGCACACACACACTTCCTGTCTTACTCCTGCTTGCCCCATCATTCACTATATGTCATTAACATGTACATATTTCTTGTTTCAGCTGTATTATTTCATTTGGATCACTGTAATTTTGAACTTTTTTACTAAAACATGGCATTTTATTTTGAAAAAACAGACACCCTCTGAAAAACTGGCTCTGTGACAGCTTATTGGAGCAGGCCTGCTGCTTCTGTGCTGATATTTCAGAGCCAATATGTCAACTAACTATCTGTTTACAATTTTTCAAGTTCAAACATTATATAAGGATAGACTGAGTATATCTGAAGCCTCAGATCCCTGGTTACATAACAATATTCCTCTGTGCCACTCTTTATTATTCTCAAGACAACTTAGCTCATGTATTTTCCATAGTAAAACCTGGATTAGTCTACTCCAGACCATTAGGCCTCTTTCCCTTGCCACCTTTCCCTCTCTGAATGCACAACTTTGATGCAATAAAAACAAAAGTAGAGACAGAAAGGAGATCAGCCTTGTTGAAGTAAACTTATCTTAAACTTCATCGTGGATTTTTTGAAAGCAGAAGTAAAGCGGTGTTTTGAATAACCTTTTCATATCCGCGTCACTGTCGAGTTCTTAAATTCTTGGCAGATATTAATTGTAGTGAGAAAACACTGACCTGGCAGCCCCTTTTGTTGGCTTCCTGGTGTATGTGTGTGAGTTAGTGGGGGGGGGAGTCATTTCAAAGAGATAAACAGAACAAGTACACAGGAACACATCACATTGTGTCTTCACTGAACTGCAGCTAAACTGTATTTTGGGCTGGACTGAGCAGTTTATCTGCTGGGCATAGAAAAAGCACCTACTGTGGCTTGGTGGGTGGTGGCTAGTGTCAGATGCCAGGACTCGAACTGTTGTGGCTGCAAGGAAGGAAGGAAGTCTTCATCGGCTTTAGATGAAAATAAATACATAGCCAGTGTGTAGTTTTTTTGTGGTTTAAAGACCTCACTGTTTTATCTTTAGAGTAGAATTTGCAGCATTTCCGCTGGCAAGCCGTTCCGCCAACGTTTCAAAGTATATTCCTCTTTGGCATACGAAGCTTTTCATGTGATCAGCTATTTCTTAAAGGGTTGTTTCAGTCAAAGTATAAGAAAAAAATCTTTTAACAACTAAATAGTGCTATACCCATTAAATAATTAAGTGTATTACCAATGTGCCATATAACAAAGTAAATTATAACTGCAATGGGTGAATATAACAAAGCTCAAAATCAATAGCTAAATAGTAAATAAATGACAAAGATTTTAAAAAAGAGTTACAACAAAGCTGTGTCTTTGTTGTAACTGCATTTTGCAATATACATGAGCATACAATAGAAACTGTAGTGAGTTGAAAGATAAGCACATGACATAAATTGAACTACTAGACACTAAGGTTTTTCAAATATACTGTACTTGAGCTTTCAAGGATATTAAACCACCAGTCTCTTCACACTGGAACATTTTCTTCCTTGACTACACAGCTCCTTTATTTTCTGTTTTTCTATTCAGGTCCTGGCTCTTGTCACTAAAAGAACCAGGACCATGTGAGACTTTGAGTGAGTCACTAGCAGACATAACACAGGTGAAACTCAGCCAGTGGGGCCGTACACATTGACCTCCAGCTCAATGGACTCTTTGTTGGATAAAGATGAGGAACTTATTCCCCATTCCCCATTATATAGCTTTTGTCTGAAATTGGATTAGCCAGGTGTTTATTTGTAAAATTACCTGAAAAACATCTACCAGGCATGTGCAGTTAAGAAGAGGGAAGAAATTCACAAAGGAAGAGATCAATTATTATCCTTTTTTATAGATCCATGTCTTGGGTGAACAAAAAAATAGACGTGTAACAAATATCTTTATTCGCGAAATGCTCAAAAAGCAGGTGTTTGCAGGCGTTACACTGGTTGTAAGGCTCATATTTGGCTGTCAGAGACTTTCTTCACGTGGGTAATTGTTAAAGAGCTCTGCATGATTGATGTCCCCGTGCCTGTTTAATAATATAACATGTTGGGGAAGTTGTAACCTCCAACTTTGAAGATGGCCCATGATTTGTAAGCACGCTGCCCGTGGCTCACGTTGGCCACAGTCATCTGTTGGGGCTGTGTCGGAGTCAGCATTTGTGTGACTTCCACGCCCTCCATCTAAAATGACAAAATTACTGGCTGTAAGGAATATCCATCATAATTTATTTTTTCTAGCAGTCTAAATCAGGACGTCTTCGTATGGCTGGAGGCTCTCTGGTAGGGGAATGGAAGCAAGAGGTGAGTGTTGCTATAATGAATCTCTCCACAGTTCCTCTTTTCCTAAAAACAATACACATTCCACATGTTCGGACACCGGTAGTTAGTCCTTATGTGGTTGTTGTGTTCTCACTGTAATGAGCAGTATCTATATACAGCAGCAAGGCTGACCCCACTGGACTGGAAACCACAGGATTGACAGTAACGGGGCGTGTGTTGGCTATATGTGCATGCGAATCTGTATCTGCAGCGTTTTCAGCCACAGTTTTATCCACAGACTTTATAGGTTAGAAGCACCAATACTTATATAAAGAACCCCAAATCCTCGACCAGTTAGTCTGTAATCATTAATGTAACGTGGTTACTGTATGTGGGTCATTCAGGCATCTGGAGCATCTTATCCACCAAACCATCTGCACAAGTAATCAGCCCTCCCTGCCTCTCACATCCATTAATGCATTCCTCTGAGCTTTCAAAAATATTCCTCTGAATAATCCTCTGATGAAATTCGGCAGCAGTGTTATTTCTCTTTGCTTATTTAGTAATTTGAAATAGCTATAATAACATAGCATTTTGTCCCCGAGCACACCTCAGCAGAATCAGTTTGGTATTTTTAATGGTAACATAATTGGATGAAATTACATTAAGAAATCCGAGCTTGTATTTGTAAAACCACTGCATCAGATTTTGTGAGGAGACAGAGCACAGGGTTATCCTCTGTTTGGTCTTTTCTTGCAGCGTAGCACAAGCAAAGCACATCAGTGAGTCAACAACAACAACTTTTAGACTTGAAAACCTTCCCAGACTTAAAACATTAATTCCAGTCAGCTACAATAAATGAGACCTTAGTTAAAGGCTTTGGAAAGTATTACTCATAAGAATTACATCACTGACATTACTGTGAACCGCGACCACCTTTAAAGATCCAGTGCTTGGCCATGTGATGGCACTTAGTTAAGTGGAGGTTCTCAAGAGAGCTGTGGCTGGACCCTCAAACTAACATGAAGGAAAGCTGCAGTAATCAATAACACGCAAGTGGTGTGATGCTCTTCTTCCATTTCAATCATATACTGAATGATTTTCATAAGATAAGATAAGAAAGATAAGATACTAT